ACGACCCCCCGCTTTAAATTGAAATGAAATTATTGTAATTTTAATAATATTGTTGTGTTCATGGATATACACACACCCAGTGATAGTTGAGAATCACGGTGTGGCTTAGTTGTAAAAATGTTTATAGAAAATATGACGAAATTCTTTCCCTGTGTTTTTATTGGTTGAGAACACAATCTGTGCCGTGTAGTTAAATGTTAATAGAACTTTGTTTGGTATTAACACACAATTATTCAACACATTTAAAACAAAAGAACAAAGAGAAAACATAAAAATAAACTTTATTACTCGATCAATGCGTGTATATGTATAAAGATTTTTAACAGGAAGGTGTATTTGTTGACATTTGACTAAATAATGTATGTTATGATTTTCTTCTTAGTCACTTATAATAGCGTGTATCTTTGACATGCGTTCATTATTGCATGTAATGTAGCCATCATTGTAAATACAGGAAGTGTAATTATCAACGTAAATAACATTTTACTGAATCTACGTGGTAGTCCACTTGACGTACCCATTCCAATACAGCCTAGATACGGTCTTCTTGTTATCTCATTACAACCCACATTTAAACAAACGTCAAACGCATATACCATAATATACTATTTTAAAATGTTGCGCACAGTGAATTCCCCATAAACACGTGTTCCCTATTGTTTATCCTGACGGCATTATTTCGACCACTCAAATCTACGGTTAAAAGGCGGCGGTAGTCGCGCCACGCATGCGCGAGGTATGGGTCTCATATGAACAAAGATGGCGACATTGGCTGTTACGCAGGCCAACGAGTACAAACCGTTACGTTTCTAAACTTTAACTATGTATTGTTTTTGTGATTAGAAGAAGATCCCAGCGGTAATTAGTGCACGTTTCGCCTAGGTGAAAACTCATACTCGTGATTTCCATTGATGTGTTGGGAAAATTAATGTTTATCAACACAAATGTCACACATGCGCGGCGCGACGACCACTGCCCTTTAACAGCTGACCACATTGACAAATTACAGGGAACGTAGCTAGGCATGGAGTGGAGTATATCAAGTCTAGATTGTTTAATGATATGCATTTAATTGCCTTTTTGCCCATTACTGGGTTCACTTATGTAAGGACGCTCTCAGCGAGATGGCCAAGTCTTACTTTCAAACTTCTCTAGGGGTTGTTACGATAGAAGAGTTAACGTATCTTGTGCACTTAAATTGTTATATGCTGTCCGAGACTGACACTGTTTTTTCAGAATGTCATGACAAATGTATTAAAGTATATATTGTCTGAATTTGTGATTTGAAGATGTAGCAACTACAAGGCGTGTCCGTGTGTCCGTTACCATGTACGTTGGATATTTGCTTCTGAATTGTTATGTGTGAAAACATCTCGTAATTTTATAAAAAAAAAACCCACACAATTCGCCAAGTAAGCGAACTTGAGTTTGTATATTCTGCCTTCCAGTTTATTGCATGCTGCTTTAACGTCATTTTATGGAACGTACAAAAGACGCCCGTTCGAATTCCATGTGAATGTAGATTCAATCATGCAATACGCGTACCGCCACCTGCACATTTGTCTATGGGGCAACTCAGTACTTCTCTCGCAGTAGATAGATTAGAACAAATTACGAATACACAAATAGGTAAGAAGCCTACGGATTTTTTTTTTAGAAATTGTGTTTTTCAAATCAATTGCATGGCAATGTTTTTTTTTTAATTATTGTGTACTTGGTATTATAAAACTGCATTATTATGTTTGTTATAGTGTCATATTTTGCGAAAAATTTGCAACATTTTCAAAGCTGCTATTTTTAGAACGCTGCGACTGAAATCCGTGTTTCTAGGCAAATGGCAATAAATTTGTATATGTATTGTATCCATATTTATCAGTGTTTTTTTATTCTTCAGCCAATATAACCATGGCGACCTGAATGTAATTATCTATAGGTAGGATTCGCCTACAATCTTGCGGAAGTTGAAAGGACCTTGTGTGAGTGCGCCCCCAGTAACTGATATTTTTTTTTTCACGCGCGCGGTACACCATTCGCGGAATCGTATAGGCTCCATGTAGAACACGGCGCGCCTCGGCTACCCTGCCCATAGCAAAATTCTCATCTCCGGCTTCTCCTCTCAATAAAAC